ATTCTATAGTAGACGATTTGTGCCTTCGGTGACGTTGCATGTTCTAATTCCTTGGATCTTCTTTCTTGTGAGAGGATCTTTAACGGCAAATTCGTTGAAAATACCATCAATCTCCATCGGCGTTCCGTCTGCCGTTTCCACAGGCATGATGCAAGGTTCCAAGGTAGGTGATCCAATTCTATTCCAGTGCATCCAGCTGGAAGCGCAAGGAATACTAATTGATGACGACGTCAAGATAGGTAATGAGATTCTCGACGTCAAACGCGACAACCTTTTTGCACCATCTTCTGCAACCATAGGGCTGGCTCCCTGTTCTGCATCGCATCTTCTGACCAGCGGAGGCGGAGAGTGAGCATGCTTCTGAAATGTGGACCTCCTAAGCTAAAGCATTTTACCTTTTTCGTCCACTCAGCATGGATGTCGTGTGCTTTTTTGTCCGCGTTATCCATTTTCAACGCGGTCAAATTCTCACATTCGTTAAACAGATCTTGATTGTCAGTGAAATGTTATCCACGTGCGAGTCCAAATGGCGAATCATCCTGATGCGAGCTTCTCGCATGTGGGATCTTTAAGACCCGTACAAATCGTAACGTCTATGTCGCCGTGTAGTCGACTTCCTTGAGCGTGCGTCCTCGTCCACTTGCCTGATTGTGTTGGCGTACTCCCGAAACGGCATGTGCGTTGGTGTAGCGGCGGACAAGTGACCCTAGGGCACTCTCGTATCTTCTCCTTATCAATGTCTTCTTAAGGGCAAACAGCTTCTGAGGTTCGCGACCTTTTGAGATCCATTCTATGTGGTTGCATAGGCAGGACATCATCTGCAACTTTTGATATTCATCATTCCTCATTTAGCTTCATGAGGACCAGATGGCGCTTCTTGTTGTCTAGCAACAATTCCGTATGACCTCCGTACCTTGTGAACCAAAAGGTGAATGTGTTGCCTTTCTCTTCATCTGAGGCAAACCTTTGCACATCGCTGCTCAGCTGATCATAATGATCTTTGCTGGCGTCCTGGACGGCATCGCCTTGACTGTAGCAAAAAGTGACGAACATTGACTTCATTTCGTCGTGCTGCATCTTCACTTGCTCGACCATGACAGTTAGGTCTTCTCAGTTGAGAATCATGAACACACTGTTCTTCTGCAACTTTAAGTATGGCTGACTTCTCTGGATTGGTGGCGACGTCTTCTTTCTTCTTCTTGGGGGCTTCTTCGTCGTCCTTGATCGCTGTAAAAATCTTCTTCAGCCTTGATTGATGACTTCTTTTTTGCCTCTATCGGGGAGGCTTCTTCTTCGTTTTTGATCGGGGAGGTTTCTTCCTCATCATGGATCGGTGGAGGCTTGTTTGTCGTCTTTCGTGGAGGCTTCTTCTATTCTTGATCGCCACTTGTTGTGGAACGTGTTGATTGTAAATTGTTTATGTACAAAAAGGCTGAGAGGCTTCTATACTGGCGTACATCCCGCTATCTTGAGTATCACGTATAGCATTGGGAAAATACAGTGATAGAACAACTTGCAATATAGATATAGTCCCTACAACATATACTCTATGTAAAAAGAGAAATCTTTGCCTGTATGTATGTATGTATGTATGTATGTATGTATGTATGTATGTATGTATGTATGTATGTATGTA